AACAGTTCATCAGACCCCTATTTTTAGTTAAAAAAAGTTAATTTTAGTACACATGCAGTAAATGTAATATCACCCATTTTTTGGAAACTTTAAAATATGAGGTTATATAGAGTAAATGTATGTAAAACACTTCAAGTCCTAAAACTGCATGTGCCCGGGATATGGCAACAAACCTTGCTACCCAAATAGGTCCATAGATGACAATTTAAAACTCTTATAGGTCATCATTTTAGAGTTAGCTATGAATGATGGGCCTAGAATCTGGTGTGCATGACATAATATCACGTAGGAGGATGACAAGCCTCCTCAAGTAGACATTGGGTCTATTAGACCCCTAATGGCACCTCTGCATTCAACTTCAGCTAACCAAGCACAAATCCTGCTTGCTTAGCTGCTTCCCCAGTCAGGAGAATTACAGTAATATACCTGGACAAGACAAAATGATCATCACATTTGGTTTCATTCTTAGATGAAATCATTACTTATTTATTATTACAGGTACTTATATAATTGCATTTTCCACATACTGAACATGCACTGATAGGTTTTTAGCATTTGCAGGTACATGGTAAACATTTTAAGCATTGGTCACCTTTCGTAAAATCTGTTCTTCTTTGTTAAATGTATTGGGGTTATTTACTGTAATAGGTGAAATGTTCCTAGACATGCTTGTGTGTGTAGCAGCAATTCAATCTTGAATAACTGAAACCTTTAAAAAGTTAACAAATATCCAATTTTTTTCACAGCAGATCTACTAATTATTACATTAACAAGTAAAATGGCCAAGGCACCATTTACTATGGGTTTTGTTTATCAGGAAAACAATTCTGATTAGCTATTAGCTATCTGCAAAACGACAGGCTAATATACTAATGTGTTCTTGTTGAAGGAAAAGTAACGATGACATTTAGAAATCGGTTGATTATAATTTACCTTAATGTTATTTCAGTGCTAAAAGGTCACAAGATAATCATTTCTGCAAGGAAAATAAAGCTTTTGTTAAAGGAAAAATGTTGATCGGGTTCCGTTCTGTATTCTTTGGCATGCTGTGCAACAGATTGTTTCATTATCCAGCAGTACCATTAATCTTTTTTATTAGCACCTAAAAAATAAACAAACAGTAATTTTGTGATGTTTGACACAAGTAGTGCATTTTAATTTTGTGGTCTTGCGGCACAGAGTGAAAATATATAAATAACTAATGCAGCAATTCTGATGGAAATATTACATTCAGCTCTTGTAAATATGAAAATGCCATTCAAAGGTGCAGAAATATAATAACATCTGTCTTGCATATTCAATTAAGCACTGTATTTCCATACTATTCAAATGCCACCCAAATATACAAGGAGACAAATTGTTAATTAACAATGAGAAATGACAATCACTCATAATTGTACATGTAATTAAAAAATGCAAATATTTCAGTTGAACATACAAGGTGTGCTTCCCTTAATATACAGGCTGATTGTTTCCTTTGACATGGAAAGGCATTGTTCGTGTGTTTTGATGTATCTTTTGTCACATTGCATTACTGTAATGGCATAAAAAGGATTTTGCTGTAGAAATTACTTATTCTTACAAATAATACCAATAGGATTATATTGGACACTATGCTTTCATCAATTAATAAAAATATATAATATCTTAAAGGAAAACATGCTTTTCCTATGGATGGCAAGATAGGAGATTTACTTTAATGCCCCCTCCCCAGAAGAATATGCTCACCTTTCCTTTGATTGCCTTACACACAGTGGGATCTGGGGGCCATTTTGCTAAAGTGGGCTTCCAGATTCCACTCCCCCACCCGAAGACCCCTATAACCACAGGCCAGGCTTGTGGGGAAGAGGCCCTTGTCCTCATCAACATGGGAATGACGTGCTTTGGGGCACCCCCCCATGTTGAGGGTATGTGGCCTGGTATGGTTCAGGAGGGGGGGGGGCGCCCCTTTCCTGACCTGTATGCTTAGATAAGGGTCTGGTATGGATTTTTTTAATAAAATTGGGCGTGGGGGTTCCCTTTAAAATCCATACCAGACCCGAAGGGCTTAGAATGGATGGAGGGGGGACGCCACACTGTTTTTGTAATAATTTTTTTTTATTGCTGGCAATTCTTTCTTTTACATTCAGCTGTCAGTAGGGATCCCCGCTGACAGTTGAAACATTAATGCATGGTTTTCACTATTAAAATACCGCATGACTTGATAAAATAAATCATGCTGTATTTTAGTAGCGTTTTTTTGTGAATTCAAACTTTATTTTATAATGCTATGTGGTATCCTACCACATACTCGGATGCAGTAAGATACTGCTTAGTGAATTGTGCTCAGTGAGCCTCTCACTGGGCCCCCTACTGACCCTGGGCCCTCAGGCAATGCCTGAATGATCAGTCTTCCCCTGGTATAGTGACCCATAGAAAATATTGATTCTGAAAGGAAAGTAATGATTTTCTGACAAATCTGTTGGGTGTACTCAGTTATGCTGAGCACTGTACGTACAATCAGAGTAAGCAATGTGTCACACATAAAAGTGACGTAGTTCTAAATAACTCAGTAGAGAAAAGAAACCCCTACAGCATAGCTAAACAATAAGTACAGCTAGGGTTGGTGCCTTAAAAGGAAGCATGGATGGAAGAGCTCCTGAGACATTGCTTTAAGGAAATGATACTATGTTCTGAGATAACCAAGTTGTGTATGTATGTATGGCGGACATGAGGTAATAGAGAGGTATTACAGAACAGATAGTCCAGCCTTATGAATGTGTTCTGGGGGTAGGAAAAATATGCATATTCCCTATATGTGGGGTGCACAAGGGTCTATCAGTCCTATAGCCAAAGTCAATTGTGATAGTAGTGTAGGGGAATCCATAGAAGCACCCAAGATGCGCTGGCCTCTTGAGCTGACCTGTCCTAACTGTCACTCATCACGATATTGAAATCTCCCCCCCCAATAACTGAGCTAAACTGGGGGTATACAAGATCCTTGAGCTGCAATATTGAAGAAAGATCCACTGGGAGAAATAGGGATGTATACATTAGTGATTTGAAGGTCTCGATTAGGGAATTGCAAGAGAACAGTGACCAGGCACCCCAAGTCATCACTATCCACCAAGACCAGATCACAGGTCAAGTTTTTGTGGAACAAGATTAACACCCATGCCTTCCACCCAACTGCTGCTGAGCTGAATACTTGATCCACCTAGTGGCATCACTAGAGTTGGTGTCACCTGGTGTGGTAAAACATGGTGTCGCCCCCCTCCTCCTGCTCAGCACCCTGATACCATACTGTAAGTTGTTTAAACTGGTCTGTATATAATATACAAATACGGTGCCAGGGTACAGACTGGTATGTATGTAATGTACAGTATGATGTCAGGGTACAGACTGCACATTATATGTACACCATACTATACACTATATACAGACCAGTCTGTACCCTGATGACACCATACTGTACATTATATACAGACCAGTGTATACTGACACTGTACTGTACGGTACGGTATATAGACTGGTCTGTATAAAATGTACAATACAGTGCCAAGGTACAGACTGGTCTGTATATCATGTACAGTATGGAGTCATCAGGGTAGAGACTGGTCTGTATATAAAGAACAGTATGGTGTTATCAGGATACAGGGTCATCAGATGTCTGGAAGGGAAAAAGAGAATCAATCAAACCAGGTACCACAGCAAATAAGGCGATGTAATTTATTATCAAAGGCAGAAGGATTGCATTGAAACAGTCCCAGTGTCCTTTCACAACACAGGTCTAGATGGAGTAATTTTAACAGAGTAGGTGAGAACAGGTTTAAGGAGACTTGATTCACTCAATGTGTATATATAATTGTATAATGTTGTATATGATTTACTGCGTTGAATTTATTCACATATTTGGTCAAACATTGGTGGAGTTAGTGCATCTACATTTTTAATTTGTTGTTAGTATTTGCATTCAGGCACATTGTGGATTGAGGCCTTCTCATTTATTTTATTCCCTTTATTTTGGTTTCTTTATTTTCAATTTATTAGTTCAAACACATATTTTGCACTAACTGCAGGGGTTTATGCATAAGATCAGCTCAGTAGATTATTTTAAAAAAGGTCTGGATTCTCTCCTAAATACACAAAATACAACTGGATACTATTATTTAAAGATAAAGTTGGTTCAGGGTATATTTGATTGCCTCTTGAGATATCAGGAAGGAATTTTTCCCTTGCTGGAGCAAATTGGATCATGCGTTATTTTTTTTTTTGCCTTCCTCTGGATCAGTGGGTATAGGATTGTACATATATATGATTGCTTATACATTTTTTTCACCATTCTATTGGTTCAACTGGATGGACTGTCTTTTTTCAACCAGAATAACGATATAATATCCTTAAAGTGTTGAATTCCCCTTCACTTTCTCTTTTCTCAACATTGACAATGGTCCTGACTATCAGCTCAACCCTGCATAAAGATTTTTCAGCTCATGGGACAACAATCCAAACACCAGCAGACTGAGAGTCACTGGGAAAGCTAACCCTGTACACACACATGGAAGCCACCAACACATGTTTTAATAGGAACCAGGGGCGGACTGACCATTTGGAAACTCGGGCACTACCCGAGGGCCTGGGGTCAGTAGGGGGCCCCATGAGATGCCCCTGGTACCTTTTTCATAGGCTTTTTTGAGTTTGGGCAAGGACACAGGGGCACCATGAACCTCCTATTGCCTGGGGGCCCCATGAGTTCTCAGTACGCCCCTGATAGGAAAATTTAAACTATCTACTGTGGCAGTCTTGGCCTTCTGATCCTGACCACACTTTGCTGTGCCCAGACAGGAATGTAACACATTTTACAACACACATTGCTCCTTTAGAGAGTCAGAGTTCCTTAACCACCTCCCGCCCGCAATACAGTAATATGACGGACGTAAGGTGGTTCTCTCATTCTGGTAGGAAGTCATAACCGCGCATGCGCGGCTCCCGGAGCGCGCAGCGCGGCAATCGGCGGTGCGCTGTGTCCCTCGGACACAGCGGATCACCGATCAACGGAAAGAGCCGAAGATGTTGGCTCGGTCATGTGATCAGCTGTGTCCAATCACAGCTGATCACATGTAAACAGGGAAATGCCAGTTATCGGCATTTCTCTCCTCTCAAGCTGTCACGCTGACAGCTCGAGAGGAGAGGAGAGACGGTAATCGGCATTCCGCGGAGGGGACATGTACACTGATCATCAGAGCACTGATGATCAGTGTGCCCTGATGATCAGTGTAGCCCCAGCAGTGCCACCTGTCAGTGTCCATCAGTGCCAGCTGTCAGTGCTCATCAGTGCCACGTGCCAGTGCCCATCAGTGCCACATCAATGCCACATATCAGTGCCCATTTGAGCTGCTTTTCAGTGTCACCCATCAGTGCCAGTCAGTGCCACCTATCAATGCCAATCAGTGCCACCTATCAGTGCTGCCAGTCAGTGCCACCTATCAGTGCCAGTCAGTGCCGCCTATCAGTGCCAGTCAGTGCCGCCTATCAGTGCCAGTCAGTGTCGCCTATCAGTGTCATATATCAGTGCTGCCTTTCAGTGCCCATCAGTGATGCCTGTCAATGCCCATCAGTGCCATCCATCAGTGCCACCTATTAGTGTCCATCAGTGCAGCCTATCAGTGCCCATCAGTGCAGCCTAATTGTCGCACATCAGTGAAGGAGAAAAATCACCTATTTACAAAATTTTATAACAAAAACTAAGAAAAAACAATTTTTTTCTTTTAATTTTCAGTGGTTTTTGGTTTGTTTAAGAAAAAATAAAAAACCCAGAGGTGATTAAATAACACCAAAATGAAGCTCTCTCTGTCTAAAAAAAAAAAAATTATAAAAATGTCACATGGGTACAGTGTTGCATGACTGCGCAATTGTCATTCAAAGTGCTACAGCGCTGAAAGCTGGAAATTGGCCTGGGCAGGAAGGGGGTATAAGTGCCCTTTAGGCAAGTGGTGAAAAGGGTTGAATTGAACTGCCCTGGCTTCAGCTAGAGCACGACTTGTCAAACTTCAAAAACATTCAAATGCTGAACTTGAACTCCCTTGAAATCAATGAGAGCTGAAACTGTCATATAAAAATGCCAATTTTCTAGGCACTGCTATAGTGAACATATATCCATGCAAACATCATTTTTTTAAACTTCCATTAGTTCAGAAGTATTTTTTAAGCATAAAGGGGAACATTAAAAATGCCAATTATTTTAAATAACATGCTTGTGGATATTCTAATCCTGCCTATGAAGGAGTGTATACCTCTGATGTACTGAAAGTGCTACAGCAGCACTGACATTTTGAGAAAGTGTTGTCAAATATAATTTCCCTGTTAAGGACCCCCAAAATAAATAGCAGACATAAGGGCTGCTATAAATATTGGGGTATCATTGGAGCGGTTTGCAGGGGTGTATTTACCATGAGGCAAAGTAGACATTTGCCTTGGGTGGCATTTTTCAGGGTGACACCCCCCCAGGCAACCTCAGATGCTGTGCAGTGCAAAATGGTCCTGCTCCTCTCCAGGTCCTTCAGTTCTGGCTGATAAAATCAACAGTGGGAGGATGGAGCCAGAGAGGGGACCCTGGGCACTTTATGGCAAAAAAAAAAAAAACTTTCCCCAGTCAAGTGGACTTTTTAATCACTTACAGTATGTGTGCAGGCAGAGTAATGTCCTGCTCTACATTTCATGACATTCTAAAATAAAGTCCCAGCCTGCACAACGGATTGATACAGAAGAGGCAATGACTTAGTTGTTTGGCAATGCGACGCAGGACATTACTCTGCCTGCACCCGAAAGTGATTAAATAGTCTGCTTTATAATGGTACAAGAGTCTAGAGGGTCAGTACTTCTAAAAGGTAAGATGTGTGCTGTAGCCTTGTGTTCTGGCAGTAGGTGGAAGGATGGACATAACGTTCAAATTTTGCAATGGGTCATCACTCTCTTTTTTTTATTTGGGGGGGGGGCGCCCGATTATTGTGTTGCCTTGGGCATCACAACAACAAAATACACCACTGGAGGATTGCGTGTGTTGTTTAAGAATCCAGCAATGAAATATAATTTGTTGGCAATTACAATTGCATAGATTTTTTTCCTTTGTAAATTTTACTTTTGCTGTAGCACATCCTACAAATTAAGAAAAAAGTGTGAGGTCCCCCAGCAACCAATACCAGACCCCTAATCTGAGCATACAGTATAGTAGGCCAGGAAAGGAGGAGTGAGCGTATGCTCCTCCTTCTAAACCATGCCAAGCCACATGCCCTCAACATGAGGGGTACCAAGCCAAGAGAACCCCCTTGGCAAAACACCTTGTCCCTATGCCAATCAAAACAAGGGCCTCTTTCCCAGAACCCTAGTCCAGTGGTTTTTGGAGTCTGTGTGCTGAGAGCTTATCAGAATCTGTAAGCCCCCACTGGTTCACACTAAGCCCACATCACGAATGTGCTTTGTGTTCTGTGTTGTGCGATTTCAGTCCATTCATTTTGTAATGCATGCACTACTTATTCAAATGCACTGCAACTGGATTGCGTGGTACAAAAGTAACATGCAATATGGCGCAGGGAGGTGAGGGCAAATGTACTGTGTTTGCAGCTTGCATTTGGGGTTTGTTAATTTTTTTATTGACACCTGCAGCAGATCACAAAGTGTAATGCATTTTGAACCGCACAGGAATGCACTGCATGTTCCTGTGCAATTCAGATGCTGGCATGGTGGGACCTGGCCCTAATTTTTTTTAACAGCATATTAATATATGTATTATCCTTTTAGATATCTTTATTGGAATAATTTATGACTCATTTTTATGGAAGCTATGTTTCTTTCTTATTTAGTTGAGAAAGAAGTTCACATTTTCTCCTCAGTGTTCCTGTGTACTTAGCATACTTTACCTGTTTTATCATTCTCCCAGGCTGTATGTGTGCCCTTAAAATTCTCATCTTTTTCATGGACTATCCCTTTTTATGCTTGCCAAGATTTGTTGGCAAGGTTTGGTTACATAGTTGCCTAGTTAGTCTGGCTGAAAAAAGACAAAAGTCCATTTAGTTCAACCAAAAAAAAAAAGTTATAATCTATACCCACCATTGATCCATAGGAAGGCAAAGCAAAGCATGCAATTTGCTCCTGCAGGGGAAAAAAATTCCTTCCTGGTCCCCGGAGAGGTGATATTCCCAAGATCAACTTTATCTATAAACGTTAGTATCCAGTTATATTGTGTGCATCTAGGAAAGAATCCAGGCCTTTTTTTAAGCAATCCACTGAGCTGGCCAGAACCCACTCTTGAGGGAATCTATTCCACATTTTCACAGCTTATACTGTGAAGAAATCTTTCCGTATTTGGAGATTAAATCTCTTTTCCTCCAGACATAAAGAGTGCCACCTTTGTGCTCTGTGATGACCTCAGGGTGAATAGCTCTACACTGAGTTCACTATATGAACCACTGATGTATTTATACATGTTGATCAATACACCCCCTTAATCTCCTCTTCTCAAGAGAGAATAAATTCAGTTCCTTTAATCTTTCCTCATAGCTGAGCTCCTCCATGCCTCTTATTAGTTTGGTTGCCCTTCTGTGTACTTTCTCCAGTTCCCCGATGTTCTTTTTATGAATTGGTGCCCAAAACTGCATATTCCATATGAGGTCTTACTAATGATTTGTACAGGGGTAAAATTATCTCTCTCTCTCTGGAGACTATACCTCTTTTAAAACAAGAGAGGATTTTGCTTGCTTTAGAAACTGCAGCTTGGCATTGCATGCCATTATTAAGCTGTGCCATTATTAAGCTTGTGATCTATCAGAACCCCCAGATCCTTCTCCACCACTGATTCCCCCAGTTGTACTCCCCTAATATGTATGATGCATGCATACATATTCTTAGCCCCCAAGTGCATAACCTTACATTTATCAACATTGAACTGCATTTGCCACATAATTGCCCAATTAAACAGTGCATTGAGGTCGGCTTATAAGTTGCAGACAACCTGTAAGGACGTTATACCACTACAAAGCTTGGTGCCATTTGCAAAGACTGAAACAGTATTTTTAATCCCAGACCCTATATTGTTTATAAATATATTAAAAAGTAAGGGTCCCAGCACTGAACCTTGGGGTACACCACTGACAACCCTAGACCATTCAGAGTATGAATCATTAACCACTACTCTCTGAATACGATCTTTGAGCCAGTTTTCTATCCATTTACATGCCAATTTTTCCAAGCCTGTGGACTTTACCTTATACTTAGCTGTGGTTAGTTTTTTTTCTGGCACACCCAATGAATGTGCACAGTTGTATTTCTGGAGGGAGGAGTAGACTCCAGTGAAAGTAATAAAACTATTTTCAATGAGAATTCTGAGGAAGTGGTAGCGTATCAAAAAACGTTAGTAATGGTGTCCTATGCTGTAAGGTTTTCTGTTTTTTATGTATTGTTAATAAATGGTTTAACCTTTGCCCTCCCAATCTCATGCAGCTTGCTTGTGCTTTTATTTTGTAGTTATAGATTTTGCACTTTCCAAGTCCAATTTGCATTACTTTGGAATTGCTACTGTGTCCTTGCTTTGTCATGCTTTATTTTTGGTGGCTATTATTTTTGTTTTTTATTTGTGGGTTATTTTGCTTGTTGCCTGCCTTGTGTTACACACCCTATGTGTGTGTTTTGTTATTTTAGAGCTGGCCCCACCCATTTAATAAGTCTGAAGGGTATGTTGTAATATTTTATTATTCCCAATGGACACGCCTTGAATGCAATTATTATTATACCAACTATTCTTGGTATACCTTTATTTCCATATGATAAAGTTTCACTATCTGACAAGCAGCATATCATTTAGCAGAATTAAACTGTTATTTGTTAGCTACTAAATATGATATACACAATATTGCCAAAAGTAGTGAGACACCCATCCAAATCATTGGATTCAGGTATTCCAATCACCTCCATGGCCACAGGTATATAAAATCAAACACCTAGGCATGCAGACTGCTTCTACAAACATTTGTGAAAGAATGGGTCTCTCTCAGGAGCTCAGTGAATTCAAGCGAGGTACCATGATAGGTTGCCACCTGTGCAATAAGTCCATCCTTGAAATTTTCTTGCTACAAAATATTCCACAGTCAACTGTTAATGGTATTATAAAAAAGTGGAAGTAGCTGGGAACAACAACAACTCAGCCACAAAGTGGTAGGCCACGTAAAATGACAGAACGGGGGTCAGTGCATTCTGAACTGCACAGTGTGCAGAAGTCACCAACTGTCTGCAGAGTCAATAGCTAAAGACCTCCAAACTACATGTGGCCTTCAGATAACCACAGCAACGGTGCATAGAGAGCTTCATGGAATGGGTTTACATGGCCGAGCAGCTGCATCTAAGCCTTACATCACCAAGTATAATGCAAAGTGTTGGATGCAGTGGTGTAAAGCACACCACCACTGAACTCTATAGCAGTGGAGACGTGTGCTCTACAGTGACGAATCATGCTTCTTTGTTTGGCAATCCAATGGATGTGTCTGGGTTTGGCGGTTGCCAGAACAGTACTTGCCTTGCATTGTGTTAAGTGTAAAGTTGGGTGGAGGGGGATTATGGTGTGGGTTTTTTTTTCAGGAGTTGGGCTTGGCCCTTTAGTTTCAGTGAAGGGAACACTTAAGGCATCAGCATACCAAGGCACTTTGGACAATTTCATGCTCCCAATTTTGTGGGAACAGTTTGGGGATGGCCCCTTCCTGTTCTAAAGCAATGTCCAAAAAGACATGGATGAGCGAGTTTGAGATGGAGGAG